TGTTGAGAACAGCAATTTATAGTAATATAAATCACTATTAATATTGCTGACACTATTTGCATTTAATTGTTAAGTTGATATAATTCCAAAATTGCGTGGGTGTACGCATATTTAAACTTCTTTAAAATCAAGCATTTTAATTTTTCAGAAAATTTTGCAAAATTCTCTAATTTTTCCCTTATTTGCTTCTTGTTTTCAATTTTCCTGACATTTTCCTGATTTCCAATTTCGTGGTAACCCTGTAGAATTCATCATGGGCTTCGTAAACAGACGCGAAAAATCAGACCCCGTGTCTTCACGGTATGCTTACGACGCGTGGAATTACGCGAGACATTTTGAGAAGCGAGTTACATAAGTAACGCATAACGATCTCGTAATGCTCTTATAGCATTGTCTTCTCTATTCATTATCTCATCAGTACAGAAAATTAAACTCATTTCAAAATGTCTTATTCTCGCATTCACATGAAATAATAATACTCTCAGTGTTTCTTGATCTTTCATTCAAATTTTAAGACCTTCTTTTAAATCATAGTTATTTTTTATAATTATTTTTAGAAAAATAATATGTATATACACAAAAATGCCAATAGACGGAATATTATCAATATTATAATAATTAAGAAAATAATACAAATGTAAAATAACACAGCATTTAAATCTATCTTTCGCTTATAAATACGCAAAAGTCATAAAAAAATCTTACAAAATCTTATTTACGGAGGGAAATTTCTTTGAGTGGATTATGAAGAATTCGGGAGTCAGTCAAGTGGAAACGTAACAAAGTCTATTGCGCGAACAAATTCGCGGTCGCGCTCCGTTTGTCCGTTGAAAGTAAGTTGAACAAAGATCTTTGCTCGCGCGGGTCATTAATCCCATTACGGAGTAATGCGAACTGATTATCTATTACCGCGATTTCATTATCGCTGCCACAAGCAGCGATATATATACATATATATCGCTGTTTGTGGCAGCGATAATGTCTGGCATTAAGCATAAAATATAGCCTACTTTAAGTCTCGAAGGCTTCGGTGTTCCGGTGGAATCTTTCCCGCATAAGGTACGAGCTGATCCTCGAGCTCGATGTCGCAAAAATGCATGCGTAAGCAGCATATATTCGCACGATATTTCGCAGGAAAAAGAAAAGAAAACAATCCTTTTTCGCGACACGATCAGTAATTAAAGCATGATCGAATCAGCGATGAATTCTCGCGTGGACAGCTGATTAAAAAGGAACAATCCGAACACTCCGTTTAATCTGCTCGCTTGTTACTCCTGCGCGTTGCTCTTATTTGATATTTACGCACGAATTTCGCGGCCGTCCGTCGTCCAGCTCGATAGCGATCGTCGATGCGCGTCGCCGATTAATCGCAAGGTAGCAATCATTGTGCGGCACAGTTGCAATTAGCATTTTACGGAGGTGGATTTTTCTTTGACTGCGGCAGTCTCGCATCGCAACCTTAAAAGCCCACGTTAAAATAACGTGGTACTAAAGGACAATAATTCATTGCGCATCTGTGACACGGACAATAGAAGAAGATTGTGATTTTTAACGCAAGGCGGAGAATACTTAGACTCTTTACTTATTTTATCACAGAGATTATTTCAGCCAATTATTTCATTCACGTTCGTAGAATTACTAGTCTATTATAATGTAAAAGATATTTGGAGAAAAAGTGTCGTGCTGATAATTTTTATAATAATTCCAGCGACATTTCTCGTTAGTACTAACAGAGATCTGTACTCTATTATTTTTAAACAGAATTCTGGCTGTAAATTTTGGTTTCAATATAAATTGTATACACACTCTAGACTCTTTTTTATTTTTATAAAAAAACCTATAGAACTATGAAAAATGTTGTCATTATTTCTTTCATATTAATAGGATATTGGATATCCAAAAGTGAGAGCTGTAAAGTTAATATTAATTCTATTAATACTACATTCTAGTAATTCTATTAATAAAAAAAATAAAGACCATTCTAGTTGCACTTTCATAGTTCTTTATAAAAAATTTTATAGTTCCTTATAAAAATAAAAGAGTTCCATTTTTCATTTTTTTATATTAAAAAACATTTTTTATGCTAAAAAACCAAAATTGAAAGTATGTAATATGCTTTGCGAATCTATCATGATACTTTCTCATCAGATAAAGAGAAATATTTAGACAACAATTATCAATTTTAATACACCTTAACTATGCATATATGCTTACATTTTCCATCTCATCATTTATTAACATCATTTATTAACATTGTATTTTATTCCTTGTTCATTTCGATGCACCGGCCAATCTTCGATAGACACAGAATTACTGTTCCAATTTATCCTTTAATCAGATTTGCCTCTGGGAGCCACATCTCACAATCATCACTTTACTGCGCGTCGTTGCATTTTCTTCTTTACGCCTCTCCTTACGTTTCGCCCTAAGCGATGCCTTGAGGTCATGCGCGATCAATTCGTGGCGATGCATCAACTGAGCCGAGGAGAGAGAGAGAGAGAGAGAGAGAGAGAGAGAGAGAGAGAGAGAGAGAGAGAGAGAGAGAAAGATGATTGCTTAAACACCTTGTAAGAGCAATCCACGCGACCGTGGTAGCGCCGGGGAACCCCGCCTTAATTTGTACTCGCCCCATGCACCGATCTATTAATCTCGGACCGATTGTGAAGCGTGGTGAATGCGATCGGCCGGCCGTAATTATAATTATCCCGACTATTTGCAGCGGCATAATTCACGATGACGTGCGGTAAAAACGCAACGTGCGATCGTTCCACGGTCGGGGGACGATAGATCATTTTGGTGGTCGTTACACGCGATTGTCGTGATTAATGCGTGGACGCGCGCGATAACACGGACATGAATTTGTAATACATTTTTCAATTTTATTGCAGATTACACGGTGGCTGAGAAAGAAAAAAAAAAGAGAGAGAGAGAGAGAGTAGAAATCACACATAATTCTTCACGAGTCTTGTTCTGCGAGGAAACGCAATTAGCATAAAAAAAATTGATTCTGTTCTTCAACTTTTGCTCTATAAACCGTCCCACTTGGAGATCAATGTTCGACATTATTGAGCTGCTTGTCGAATGATCGGTGATTTCAACAACTGTTCGATGAATGAACGCTCTATAATGCGCACGAGTTTCCAGAGCACGAATACTCGCGTGCGTGATTAATTATCCTAAAATCGCGCGGCAACAATTGCGACCGAGCGAGAAATGCCCTGCGGGATTAAACGCGCGCAAATACGAGTCGCGAGCGCATTGTGACCCCGATTTAATTTATATTTGCCCTCGGATTTTTTTTCTCAAGGCCTCCTCATTGATTCGATCGCGCCGTTTACACCTACGGAACTATTCTAGTTACGACACACTGAAACACAATACTAGTATACCACTCGTGGACAACAAAGGGACTTTGAGATTGAATTATGTACCCGGAGGCTACTCATATTATTTCAGTGCCGAGCATCAGATATAAGATAGAAAGAGAGGCAGAAAGAGAGAAAGGGAATAGAGGAGTACTTTGTCTCAATTACCGAAGTCCATAACGATTAAAAATTATGTAATGATTACGAAAAATATATAATTATAACACAGAGAATAACTTAACAAATCTTTGCGCCAAAAATGAATTTTCTTGGATTTTTAAAAAAGGAAGCATACTCAAACGTATTTATATACGAAAAGAATATAATTGTAATGTTTGTAAAGTGTAATTTCGACTTGCTTTCTTAACAATATATAATTGTCATTTATTTACTATGTAAAATATTTACTATGTAAAATATTAATAAAACTCAGCTATATGTATAGCAGAAAAATTTTTTGTCAAGATTTAATCAAATAAGGTATCGTTCTCTCTTATTTTAAATTATTTTTGTAAAGTGTTAAATATATTACGTGATTTATTTCCTTTTCTTTCTCTCTCTTTTTCACTTGACATATTGATGTGTATCTCGTACCTTTATTATAGCACGCGACGTAATATCGCGCTCGTTACGTTAGTCCTCGTTGCTCTCTATCTTCCATTTAGGCGTATCCACAAGTTGCCTCCTTCGATATATGCACCGAAGTAATATCCATCCCAAAGATTTTTATCTGCTAGTATATTGCGCAAACCGCTAATAAATTATGCCCGCGCAAGTCGTTTAAATGCACGGTGCCGCAGCGAAATGCGCGATACTTCGCCTTTCACCTTGCTACGATAATGTATTCTGTCGTGCATTGTGGTTCGGTTAGAATAACTGCCATCGTATACTGTATTATCGTATACTATATTTCGAGCAACAATTACACGGAAATGATGTTAAAAATCAACCACCTAAGCTAAGAACTGCGTCGCGGTTTCTCATGATTAATAAGAAGTAAATAAAAGTTGTGGTGCTATGTTGCCTTTTTATGAAAGCGCTCTCAATATTTGCAAATTACAAAAATGTATCAGCAAAGAATAAGATCTCTCTTTCACAAGCTTTTGTCGATGTACAAGCAGCATTGTCTAAAAACTCGTTCTTAAAAAAATATATGTATATATAATAAACTTTAGACAGAATGTATTGTTTGTGCGTCTACGACAATAATTTATGGAAGAGAAATCTTCTTTGCTGATACATACTTATATTCTTGTGAGACAGTGCGAGCACTTTCTTATATTATATATATAACGTTGTAAAATCTGAGAGAGAGAGAGAGAGAGAGAGAGAGAGAGAGAAAAAGAAATCAAGGTAAAGAAATTAAGGTTATTTCTTTTCAAATCAGATGTTCTCACGAAAATAGGTATTAGAAAGTGTCTTCGCTTTTTCCAAGATTTTCAGTAACATAACTCGACTTCATAAGATAAATCCTGTGTGCAGATAAATCGTCGTTAAAAGCATGCTCGATTTCGACCAAATTGTGTAAAAAACATTTTCTTGCGATAAAAAGAATTGTAGAAATAAAAAACGCCTCGAAAATTATAATATTCCTTGATAACATTGTTTGCCTAAATCTCGTCTACTGACTTGCAGAAACAGTTCGATCCTGGGACAAGCTCTCACAGTTGATACCAACGAATTCGGTGTACGAGAAGCAAGACCGAAATGCATCACCGTCCAGCAACGAGGCGGATGCATCGCTGGCGCACTTGCCAGGGGAAAACAATGTGATGGACATATCGAAATCAAAAGAGGGAGACAATCGCAAAGGAGAGGAGGAAGAGAAGGAGAAAGAACCTAAGCTGACGTATGACGTCGAGGAATACGAAGATGAAGATAAGCACGAAGAGGAAGAGCTCGAGGAGGAGGAGGTTGAACAAATGGAGGTGGAAAAGAAAGATCTTTCTGATAATGAGAATGGCGCAACAAAGAAAGAGAGATCTCCACCGGAAACCAGCAGCGTGTCGAATATTGAAACGGGAGACAAGGATGGGGATTATCTCGAAGATCTCCCGACGAATCAAGATGACAATACGTATTATTATTATGAAGAGTACGAAAATGGAAATCGTTCTCGGTATGACGCTGAAGGTGAGATTCAGCTGTTCCTAGTCACATCGAACTGTAATTGTTTATTTCTCTTCTCGTGGATGTATGATTAATAATCGTGAAAATAATTTTCGTATCTCAATTTTACATCATTAATTTCATACATCATTTGGTATTTTGTAAAAAGTATTAACTCTTCTTCAATATATACTTACTAGCATAAAAAAAATAGATTCTACAATTGCATTTCAATTTGTTGTTCTTAAAAATGAGAAAAACATGAACTAAATTTCCATTCAATTCAAATATTTGAATAACTAAAAAGTTTAATTCTTAAATCTTTTAAACAGTTTTTTCCCATTGTATTTTATAAGAAGAATTACAGCTTTCAATTTCTTCGAATATAATCTAAATAATCTGTTTCCACTCGTTTTAGAAGGTGAAAATCTCGACTATTTAGACACGGAATCTGAAGAGGAGGATGTCACGCCGGCGAATTCGTCAGAATTGGAACATGGCGCTTTAGAAAAGAGAGAAGAAGACGTTTCGCACGAGTCAACTTCTAATTCGTCGCGAATTGTCGAAGAAAAAGTCAACAATCCGATATCGTCGACTGAGTTGGAGCAAGGCTCGTCCATGGAGGGTAGCGATAAAACATTCACTACGTTCGGCACATCCGGGAAAAAGGATTTCAAGAACGTTTCCGCCGAGGTCAGTTCTATTTTGATAGGCGGTGCCGTGGTCTCCGTGGTGACTACGAAGAGTGTGGTGAACGGTACAATATCAGTACCGACGACGGCCTCACCGGTTACCACAGAGCAAGTTCCGTCGCCGCCATCGTCGTCGTTGTTACCCAAGATAACCGAGGAACATCCAGAAGTAACCACGGAAGACTCCGCGAGAATCCTGGCTTCTGTGCAAACCAGCCGCAGCGTATCGGGCGCGCGTTTTCTGCCGTTTCCAGTAATAGATCGCATAGAGCAGGTGGAAGCACATAGTGGATCGCTTGAGAGCAAAAAGACGTTGCAACCACCGTCAACGGAGAGCATTATTGACAAACTCGACTGGGCGCAGTCCAAGCTATCTAGCGATCTTCTGCCAGCGGCTATTCTCGGTACCGGTGGTTTCCGAAACAACGGTAATACGTTGCAACTAGATGTGTTAGCCGAACGAGATCGCACAACGACGACGACGACTCGCAGGAGTTTCACGACCACGGCCAAGATACCGGTCATCGGGAAATTCATACCACGACGTTACAATGACAGAAAACTGAATTATACCAGCACTAACACGGCAAAGCCGCGATTTGAAACTACGGTCGACACTCTGGAAGGTTTGTTGCCTCGAAATTACGTGTCGAGAGGAACTACTTCGAGTGCAGTTTCCAAGACAAATTTCAGGTTGGATATATCACATAAATTTTTGTAAGATTTTGTAAAATTTATACGAGTATTATACATATTACAACTTGAAAACAATAGGCGATGTGAAAATATGTTTTGATGAATGACTTTTTTAATTACCAGCAATAAGAACGACAAATATGCTTATAATTACGTAATTATATCGATGAATCAAGATTTGAGTTAAAAGTGATAGTTATTATTATTTTTCTTTCAGATGGCCTTCTTCGAAACCGACATCCACAGAAGCAACAGAAACAAAAACCACATCGACGATATCACGAGCGAAACCTAAAGCCGACATTATCGTCCAAGATATTAGTGTATTCCTGCCTGCAGGATACAAACTAAAGAAAGAAGATGCAGTTGTCACGGAGAATTCCCTTCTCAGCGAAATCCTCGCCAAATCTAAGGTCGATATTTCGTCTCTCTTACCACCTGGCTATGATAAGAAGAAAGAAGAGGAAGAGTCCAAGTTAAAAGATACTAAAACGACAATATCGACAACAGCAAAAACGGCGATAGCGAAAAGTACAGGCAGCTCTCCGGAAAAGATCGCCCCATCTATCCATGATCTCTTCGCGTCTTCTAAAGTCGATATTTCCGCCTTATTACCTAAAGATTACGAACAAAAAAAGAAAGATTCCGTTCCAAACAATAAAGCTACTGATGACGTGAACAGCGAGCAGAATATGACAGAACGAACTGATTCCGAGTTGCCTACCACAAAGAAAGCTGGTGGCTTGAAGATCGTATTTCCCAGTAGACCAGGTGGTCGCAAACCGATCCAAAAAATAACTACTCCGCAGACACCGCGTGGAGATGGTCCAGGCACGGTAACGCCAAAAATACAAAAGGGATGGCCAACCCGGTAAGCTTATAATATTACATTAATTATTATATATTAAATACAGAATAGCTTCTTTTTTAACACTAGAAATATTCTTACTCATTAAAAGGAGCTCATTCTAGCGAATAAATTATTATAAAAAAATTTCAGAGCTACTACAGAGTTCACTGGATGGCCAACTTCGTCCACTACGCCGATCTCCATCGAAAAGTTATTGGAAGCAGCTCGCACAGCTACAGTAGCGTCGATAAACATGTCATTTATTCCCAGTACGAACGAAATCTCGAGTACATCATCGTCGACGTCGACGACGACGACGACACCAAGACCGACTACTCCTGGCATATGTGATGATGAGTGCGAGGTCGCCGGCACAATACGCATAATAGGAAACGCGACGTGGGTGCCAGAATTGTACGATCGAAACACTCACGAGTGGCAAGAACTTGCAAATCACGTGGAACGAGAAGTATGTTCTTCGCTCAACTTGTCAATATTTTCACGAAACGCCAATTATATTTAAATTACATATTTTTTCAGATGAACTTTATATTCTCGAAATCCAGCTTTTTAATGAATTGGTACAAAAATATAAGGATCGATTCTTTCAGGTAATTCAGACTTTGTAATTTGAAGCAGTAGTATCGAAATAAGCATAGAAGATGATCACAAGTATAATCATAGCATTATTTGTATAAGATTCTTATTATATATCTTATTATAATATTTTTGTGAATTGTATTTAATAATTAGACACTAGAGTAATTAGTCACTCCGTCATACTTTGAATTAGTCGATTTCATATTACTGACTCAACAAAGATATATTAACATTTTCAGTCAAGGCAGCATCTTAGTAGATTACTTTGTCGAGCTAGCCAATTTACAACAGAAAGTGAACACGCAAGAATTAAAAGTGATTTTCCACGACTCGCTCAGGACATACAATGCCAATCGGTCGAATGAAACAAGCTTGAAAGGTCCACTAAGGATGGGAATGTTTACTATCGATCCTAAGTATACCGATTTCGTAGGTGCGTCAACTTAAAAGCTTGTTTTTTTTTCATCAATTCTGTTCACTTGTTCATATCTTTTTTTAGTCATACCTAAAGTAAATATGCCGCAGTATATCGAGAAGGATGATAGATTGATACCTCAGTGGGCAATTGCAGTGATAGTGATAGGTGTCGGAGGTTTGCTATTTATTATCGTGTTTGGTGTGTCTGTGGTAAGTCAAAACCGTTCGAAGTTTTCGTATAGTTGTACAATTAGCAAAAATAAAGATAATGAATGAATTTATTTTCCAGCTCGTCAACAGGCAAAATGGATCGAAACTAAAACCGACCATGTCGACTATTTATGATGAAGAAGTGGTTAAGCACGCGTCGAGTCACAGATCAAGTGACTATTCGAAGCCAGTAACCCACACAATATGGACCGATCCCGATGTCTCTTGGAATGACAAGTCTTTTGAATCAAATTCTAACAAGGTAAAGCGCGGAAGGCAATATCAAATCAATTGAATATTAGGCATCATGTACTTATCTTGGATTCGTTCTTTTTCAGATTTTGGTCGACAAGTCCTTCCAGGACAAGAAATACAATATGTACGACAGTTGGCGATCCGAGTGGAACGGTTATTATTACAATCCTTCGCATACGAGCAGCAAATACGGTTACGACAGTACCACGAACTTGTCGAACCGTCACCATCCCGATTACGACACGAATTTCTAAACGGCAATAAACTGCAATTTCTTCTACCAATATCAAGATTTCACTTAATTTATTCGACGCCTTAGGTAAGCAGCTACTACAGAGAGACTCATCGAAATATTTACTCTATTTTTCAACAACGCGTGTTCATTTCGATAAGAGATTACCAACATCTCTACGTAGAATATTTTAAATATAGGATTTGTTATCCTGTATTCTCTCTGGATCTAGCAACTTGTGTTCATTATTTCGCGACATCGAATTCGTCATTTATTCTTTAGCTGTTTACCTTAATAAGGGATTTATTTATTCTAGTCAGAATAATAAGTAATTATATTGTAATCGGTCACTCTCCACCAAAACCGATATCATCACGCCAATAATATGTTTGCCGCGATGTGTTTGAAATTGCAGATGTGAAAAGTAGAATTAAGCGATAAAAATGGCAATTACATCGATAATAAAATACTTTCTCATTTATAAATGAAATGAAATACTGAGTAGAGATCAAATCATGATGTGTATTACAATCTTTTTTATAATCACAATCATTCGTACATTCATTTAGCATCACATAAAAATATATAAAATTGGTACATATTATCTCTTATATAGACTTAAAATAACTTACTCAACAAAGACAATAGATTCCTAATCGAGACGGTTGTATCTTCCTGAGTGTTGACGTGGCGTCTGAGCACACTCAAAAGTTTTTGATACAAGAATGATTGCCTATCCAAAAAATATGAAATAGTATGAGCATTACTCAACATCCTATCTTCCATGTAATTACATAAGAGGACCATACTCAACAGATATACAATTTTGAAACATTATTGGCAATCAGATAAAAAAATGAATTTTTGTTGATGATAAAATGAAGCTTAATGTGTCTTCCTTTTATCCAATTATGCTTTTAAACTGCACTACATTCTATATATATGTTACCTGCTAGCTGGCTTGCATATTGATAAATGATCCTGCGGAATCTCGAAGAATTCTCCCACGCCAGGATCTGGAAAGAGTTAGTATATTGTTTTTATATGCATGCATGTTTGTGTGTGATGTGTGTTGATAAGAATCTAGATAAATTATATTTATCTACAAATATAGACCAAGGTAAAATGTATAATCATATGCAAAGATATCAACATTTACATCTAATCTTAAAGCATTACCTGCTGAATTGAGACTGACAAATTGGAAAGGAAACTTCAGCGCAGTTACAAGCGTAGGTTTGGCCTCGGCGAAACTCACAATTTCTATGTGATATTTATTCAACATTTCTAAAAACTCTTCATGCAATCTTAGTAATTGTGGTGATTCTAAAACATTAGAATGATAAGTTACATTGCGCGTTAATTAAAACTAGAGATCGACAATTACCTTCGCGTAGTTCTTGAACCTCAACTGTTGGCCATAGCAGCATTTGCGTTGTTTGCTTCAGAGCCGCCACATGTGAACCTCGATGAGGAGTACCGTAAAATAGAATAGCTTTGGTATTCTTGCAGATACCATTCTTATCTCCAGTTTTCCATTCTACAATATAACATATAATGACTCTAACAATAGCAATAGTGATAATTTTGGCACATTTTTATCAAAGTATAAAAATTAGTATAAATGTTCAGCTTATATATACCTTCTACAAGCATTTTTTTAATTAATAATCCACCCATTGAATGGGCGACCCATATAAGTGGACGTTGGCCCACGTTCGCCATTGTCAATTTGGTAACGAATTCTTCGCTTCTCTCTTTAATAGTGCTCCTAACAAAAATAAATGTAATGCGTCAAACTATCGGAATATATTAATACCTAATCGGAATATAATTTAATACCTAAATTTATTATAGGAAATTCAAATTCAATTCTCATAAAGTAATAAACGAAATATAATACTTACTTCATGCTTTCTATTGGACAGAAAGGAGTCCACATAGATAAACTCGTACCATAGTTAATACCTATGATTCGCAAGGATGGTATGTCTACAGGTAACCAGTCTTTAGGCCAACAAAGTGTTTTGGATGTAGAATCAAAATCATTCATACAGGTGTCATCTCTAAAGATATCGCGTTCAAAAATTCACAAATTAAAAATACAATATTTGTTTAGCAAGTTAATAGCAATAGTTATAAGCAAGTTATCAGTATAATATGTTGAAGTTGATAAATATATAAAAAATCTACCCTCTGCAGAAATAAGGTCCGCATGCACAATCGTTTGTGTTTTGTGGACAATCATCCAGTATCACCTCAAAATCTTGACCTATCTTTCTCCATTCGCGCAAATGCAGATCGCGAGCCAAGTCTTTAAAGAATTCTTCAGGACGATCGTCATCAACCATAGCAGATAAGTAGTCTGTAGTGTTTTCGACCAATGTATTACCATCTGCAATTAATGTGAAAAAGTAAAGAGATAATCTCTGTTATGAGAAATGTAGCTTTAAAAATTATATCAAAATATATTATAAACAATTATAAAGAAATAAAGTTGCATTGAATTGAATTGCTGCTATGAAAAAATGTACTATATTGCAAAATTCAAAATTCAAAAATTTATATTCTAAATTGTTAATCCGACAATATAT